TTTCTCATTTTGTTTCCAACCTTCTCCTTAAAAGAAATGGGTCTCCACATTTGCTAGCCTGTAAAAATTATAATGGAGCTTGTCTTAGGCTGGTTCTCTGGAGAAGAAAAACTAGTGAAGCGTGTATATATGTACACACACACACACACACACAGAGATATGTAAAGAGAGAGAGAGAGAGATTTATCTAAAGGAAGTGGCTTATGCGGTTGTGGAGGCTGGCAAGTCCCAAAGTCTGTGGGTCAGGCATTGGCTAGATGCTTCTTCTGACTCACACGGTTGCAGGAGCTGACGAACCGAGAATCGGCAGGTCAGATGACAGGCTGCTGGCTCACAGGGCTGTGGAAGCTGGTGAATCCCGAAGTTGGCAGGTCAGATGACAAGCTGCTGGCTCAGGTCATGAGAACTGGAGGTCAGATGATGGCAAACCAGGAACAGGATCCAGAGCAAGCAAGCGAGCTTTGCCAGAATGTCCATATATGTATATTGGGTGCAGGCCACACCCCTGAGGAAACTTCCCTTACAACTGATTGGCTGATCACCTCATGGAGGCGATTACATTATATTAGTTATGGAAGATCACAAAATGGAGGATAATTACCTAATACTGAAAATCACGGCCTAGCCAAGTTGACACATGACATTAACCATCACAGAGCTCATCTGCACTAAGCACCCTCAGGCCAATATTACTGATTATGACAATATCATAAAAGAACAATATCATGAAAACATTTTTCATGTTTTTCATCCCAGTTATGAAAGCTACCCTGCATGATAATTTGGTTAATCAAATATGGTATTAAGGTAGCATATTTTAATAGGTTCTTCAGTGTCATAAGAGTTTAGAATAACTTGGCAGAGAGAATTCCTGCAGTAGTGAGTTGAAGATAAGCCATGGACTGATTGGAGTCTAGACTAGGGCTAAATCAAGAACTCCATGGTATCTGGGCAGGTGCTGGGTCATCTGATTTGACTGAGTCCACTTGAAGAATCCAGGCCTGTTTTAAGACATGGGAATGTATTCATTTACTTTAATGTATTATTTATTTGTGGAGGGTGTTAAGAGTTTGTATCTGTACCTAGGAAAGGCTAGATTTATCCCTAGCTCCTTGACTTGGGGAGGAGAGGGCAAGGAAACACCAAGACGTATGAGCAGGTCATGGAGGCAGAACTCGTTCGAGACTAACCATCACATAAAACAGTTAAGCTCTGGAAAAATATTGGTATCATAATATCTTTTATTATATCACCATAATCAATCTGAAGGCACTGGTCAGTGACCAGAAGCAGGCAGAAACAAAGGGGAGCTGACTCTAGTAAGAGAGCTAAGATCAAAAACCAAACCCACTGCCGTCGAGTTGATTCCAACTCATAGAAACCCTGTAGGACCAAGTAGAACTTCCCCAGAGAGTCTCCATGGCTGTAATCTTAAGGGAAGCAGACTGTTACATTTTTTTCCTGCGGAGTGGCTGGTGGGTTTGAACTGCTGATCTTTTCGGTTAGCAGCCAGGCACTTAACCACTGCACCACTAGGGCTCCTTAGTAAGAGGTTTTCTTACCACTGTTTCACTTGAGGGCAGGCCCCGGGCAGTGCCACTAAGAGCAGCTAAAACTCCTAAGGCTGCAGGCTTACTAGTTGAAGAATTAGAGGACGTAGCCCAGAGTGACCAAAGATTCTGGAAAGTGAAGGGAGATCCTAAGAATGAGAGAGCCACAGAGGGCAGCCACACTGCCGCACTCTCTCACTGGTCCCTGAACTCCACGTGCATGGGGCAAACTTCAAGCAGCCCAGCTAAAATGAAAGGAACTGAATAGAGATTTTAGCGGTTGCTTGCCACGGGGGAGCCAGAGTTTGGAGCTTGAGTTCAACCATGTTATTAATTGCCTACTAAACACACAAACAAATGAGTATCTCTCAGAGGAATGAAGAGAATGCACAGTCTCTACAGTGTATTATTCACAATGTCCAAGATACAATCCAACCCTATTAGATAGATGAAGAAACAGGAAAAGGAGAGCCGTACATCAAAGAAAAGGCATCAGCGGAGACCAACCCCCAAACGACCCAGACGTTCGAATTAGCAGACAAGGGTTTGAAAGCAGCTATTGTAACTGCTATGGGTCTTGTTAGGTGCCATCAAGTCAGCTATGACTCATGGCGACCCTGTGTACAACAGAACCAAACACTGCCCAGTCCTGGGCCATCCTCACAATCATTGGTATGTTTGAGCCCACTGTTGCAGCCACTGTGTCAATCCATCTCACTGAGGGTCTTCCTCTTTTTCACTGACCCTCTCGCTATGAGTTTTTGGCTCTACTTTACCAAGCATGATGTCCTTCTCCAGGGACTGGTCCCTCCTGATAACATGTCCAGAATACGTGAGACAAAAGTCTCACCATCCTTGCTTTTAAGGAGCATTCTGGCTGTACTTCTTCCAAGGCAGATTTGTTTGTTCTTCTTGCAGTCCATGGTATATTCAATATTCTTTGCCAACACCATAATTCAAAGGCATCAATTCTAACTGCTCAGGGACATGTATGTAAAAGGGGTTATATTCATTTCTTACCCTCTTTCATTAGCCAGTAAGCTCCTTGAAGGTAGGTGTTATGGATTGAATTACGTCTCCAAAAATGTGTGTCAACTTGGCTAGGCCATGATTCCCAGTATTATATGGTGTCCACCGTTTTGTGACCTGATGTGATTATCCTGTGTGTTGTAAATTCTAACCTCTATGATGTTAATGAGCCAGGATTAGAGGCAGTTATGTTAATGAGACAGGACACAATCTACAGGATTAGGTTGTATTTTGAGTCAATGTCTTTTGAGATATAAAAGAGAGAATCTAGCAGAGAGGTGAGGGACCTCATTACCACCAAGCAGGAAGAACCAGGAGCAGAGCATGTCCTTTGGACCTGCAGTCCCTGTGCTGAGAAGCTCCTAGACCAGGGAAAGATTGATGACAAGGATCTTCCCCCAGAGCTGAGAGAGAGAGAAAGCCTTCCCCTGGAGCTGGCACCCTGAATTTGGACTTCCGGCCTCCTAGACTGAGAGAGAATAAATTTGTTTGTTAAAGCCATCCACTTGTGGTATTTCTCTTATAGCACAGTAGATAATTAAGACAGTAGGCAATGCATATTTTTAATCTTCCTAGTTTCCAGGGTCTGGAATTAGTTCTCCACAGAATGGGGGCAGGAGCTGGGGGAACATGAAGGTAAGCACGGTGACAAGGAATCCAGGAACACACTGTGTTCAGAAACTCAGAATGACAGAATGTCCACTGCAGGGAAATCAGTTGGCAGGTAGATGATCTCAGGGAGCAGGCTTGTTTGGAGGCAAGATTTCTATTTCTGAGGGCAGTGTTTCTCAAACATGATCCGGATCACCTGCTTCAGAGAAACCTAGGGGCTTGTTAAAATGCAAATTCTGAGGCCTAATCCTTGATTTGCAAAACCTCTCTGAGAGTGGGTTTTGGAAATCTGTATTTAAGACAGGTGTCCTAGACGATTCTTATGTTTATGAACTTGAACTATTTTGGGGGGCGTGGGAACCCGGAAAGCAAGGAATAGACCAAGCCCCAGGGCATGTTTCACAGCCTTGGCCCTACTGACATTTTGGGCCCGACAGTTCTTTGTTGTAGGGCTGCACTGCGGATTATAGAATATCCAGCAGGATTCGTAGCTTCTACCCGCTAGTTGCCAGCAGCGATCCCTTCCTTGAGCTGTGATAACCAAAAATGTCTCCAGATATTGCCAGATGTCCCCGGTTGAGAACCGTTGCTTTGGGGTACAGAGCCGTGAGCATGTTCTAAGAAGCAGACGAAAGCACAAGGGCTTGACCTACAGCAAGGGCGCCCTTTCCAGTTCCCTGTGAGCTGAGGTACCTTGCTTGTAGAGAGGCCGGGTGGCTCTAGATTTGGTGACAGATGGAACATAAAGGCTGAGAATGAGACAAGGCCTGGCAGCTTAGGCCAGGCCTCCATCCTGGCTGTGCACTGAAATTAATTTGGGGTTTTAAAACTATAGAGATGCCTGGGCCCACATCAGTCCTTCATCAGAATTCCCAGTGATGACATCCAGGCATCTCTATTTCAAGAATGATTCTGATCCACAACCTGGTTCTGGTAGAGTCACTGGGTTGGACGACGTGGACTAATGCAGTCAGGAACTCGGGAAGAGGCAGGCTAGGAATAAACCTGCCTCAGCATGGTGTACCTCAGCAACACTCCGTCTCTGAAGCTGTTTAACAGCGCCTGCTCCACCCCACAAGTCCGGATGAAAGCATTCCATAAACAGGCACTGTGGCTGAACTCTTCTGATTAGGGATCGCCCCAATTTTACTCTCCTATCCTCTGTCCAGAGCCCTGGTGGTCAAGAGCTCAGCTGCTAAACAAAAGGTCAGCAGTTCGAATCCACCAGCCGCTCCTTGGAAACCCTATGGGGCGGTTCTACTCTGTCCTATAGGGTCACTATGAGTTGGAATCGACTCAAAGACAACCGGTTTGGTTTTCTGGTTTTTTTATCCTCTGTTCAGAGCCTGCGTCCTCTTTGGTGATATTTTTTGTTTCTAGCCACTGTCTAATACACGATTTCTATCCAGCCCCTTGATCTGATAATTGTTGTTGTCTGTGATCTGGCCAATGTTTAAGAGGTTGCTGACTGAGTGCATTGGGAGTTTCTAACTGCCTTTTTAAAGGTACTGGTTAAGCATCTCCTACATTCAGTAACATAAAGGACGACTGTAAAGCAATTAAGATGAGTCCACAAGCCACAAAGGAAGCATCGGTTTCACTGAGAAGCACCCTCAGACTTTATGAGTGAAAATCCAGAAAAGAAAAAAAACCAATCTGTGATACTTTACGTGTGTACTCTAGCTTCATTTCCACGTGAAACCCTACAGCTAACCAGAAAGAACATTCTCAGGGAATCTTGATCAAACTTGATTAATCCCGCTTAAACTAGCTATTAGTTCCGCAGTAATTCCACAACAGACCAAGGACTCTGTAAAAGAACTTTCACTGACTATTTTATTCAGAAAAAAAACAACAGGATAAGATAGAAACAAAAATCTCCATCATTTGCAGTATCTATCAGCTTTCAATTTGGCTCTCCTGTTTGAACAAAGAAATAATAATAAACATTAATCTATGTAAAACATGTCGTATATAGTTAATATTTATGTTACAGACAAAGACTGCTATTAAACATCAAACTCATGCTTAGAAACTGTACTCTCAAATTTGGTTATATTAGTGCAAAATGTATATTCAAATATTTGTATTCAAATTTTATTTTTTAATTTTTTGTTTCACAGAAAACGGATTATGTTGTTATAAAAGTCTTCCCCTAACATTTAACGAACCCTGCCTGAGGGTCTTTTCGGTGTGCAGTGGGAATTGTGGCTGCCTCCTCTGAATTACGCATGCCCTGAAGTTCTAACTATCAAGGTAGCAATGCTGTATTTTCACAAGTAAAAAGTTACAGGTCATAGAGCTTATTCTATTTTTTTTGAGCCCACACACTGATTATTTTTTATAGCCCCTTCCTGATTTCTTAGAACTAGATGCACGCTAACTTGCTCAGCTGGAAACAATTCTTATGTCATTTATTTACTTCAGGCAAAAACTCCGTCAGCTAGTCAACAGGAAATATATGATTAAGCATTGTCGTTATCAAATACTGTAAAGAAAGATTTTAAGAGTAATTTTGCAACATATGACTTGAATGAGTACGTGGCAGAAGATCACCAAATTCTCTATCAGTCTTGGCACTTACTTGACTTATAACTGTAAGCTCACAACTAAACCTCTCTATTTTTTTATGCTGTCCACCTAGAACAGTACTTACCTAAACAGGAGCAGTAATAAAGCAGTACTAATAAGGTACCACTACAAATGTCTTGCACACTTTTGAATCCAACTTAATAAAGTTGCTTCAAACTTAATTCATGTAACTTTTCTAGCTGGTAACTTTTTTCACTGGTTAACTTCTAATCTCATTATTAGAAGCCTGTACTAATCGAATGGAATTCACAGAATTTTGATGTTCGTCAAACAACTTCTACCTAAGCCCGGTTCTAACAGTTATAAAGCGATGATGGTAAATAAATTTATAAAACAGTTTCAATCAAATCTGAATCTCTTACAATAAAGTATGTAAGTATTTAGAATCTGGCTATAATTTCAAGATATTCTTTCTTGGCACTTTCCCCAGACTTAAGATGGGCTTTCTACGAAATATTACCACGTTCTCAAACCAGAAATAAAGACAAAAATCTGAAAACTAAAGTAATTTAAAAGGTGGTTTTATACACACCACTTCTATTGGCTACTGAAAATAGCTGGAAATAATAAAAATATACCTACCTGTCAAGAAGTGTCTCATGCAAAAATCCATCTTTCCGAGCCTTTTTAAGAATCTTATTGTCTTCTTTACTTATTTTAAGTTTGTGGTCTTGGAAGCTCTGAAATTTCTTTCTGTTAAGAAAGTATGTTTTAAAAAAATCTCAAACTTTGCTTATATATGTTTACTGATGAACTTACAGATACTGTTAGAGTTTTTCATTTATTAAAAAATCTGTTCGAGCCCACCCAGGGACACCAAAAAAAAAAAAAAAAAAAAAAAAAAATCTGATTGTACTTCTTTAATACCCCACAGTTTCTCAAACTACAAAGATGACCTCCTCACTGACCCACCCCGTAGGGCAGCTGTGTGGGTAACTCCACAAGCCCCGCTTCCACCAGGAAATGCTGGCTTGAGTTCCCTGTGCCCTGGCCTTGCTCAGCATCTGTTTGGCATAATAGTCTGACAGATTAACCAACAGCAAGAGCTGACTAGCCCAAGTGCCTCTGGCTTTGAAAGCTGGTAGGTTAACCAGGAAAACTGAAGCCCTGAGAAAAAGAAAGCATTCAGCTCCGTGCTCTGTCCTAGAACCCAAACCCCAGACCAAACCTGTTGCCCTTGACTTGATTCTGACTCACAGCGACCCCGTAGGACAGAGCAGAACTGCCCATAGGGTGTCCAAGGACTGGCTGGTGGATTCGAACTGCCGACCTTTTGGTTAGCAGCTGAGCTCTTACCCACTGAGCCAGCAGGGCTCCTCTCTGTTCTGGAGCGGACATTAAAAGCTCCTTGAGAAGCACTTCCTTGCCAAACCTCTGGGTCTGAAAGGAGAATACGTACACATAATTGATTTCACACTGTTTAATATTTCCTTTGTCTTCTTCTGGAATGTCATCTGTTTTCTTGGTTTCTCTTTCAGCACAGGACCTAATCTGGACATTGGAGAAGAGAACACGACAGGCTATACACTTACCTTCTCCCTCCCCAGTTTACTCATCAAGCAAGAACATTCTAGGTGATTTCTCACACAGGAGAAAACAAAAATCAACTTAGCAATGAGATTCAGAAAAAAGACAGGTTCTGGATTATGTGTCTTACATTTCATATATATAATCTGTAGAAATAACTGCTGTTGTGTTTCTCTAGAGCGCTTGTGTCAGATACACTAAAGATAAAATGATTTGGAAACTATTTTACAGATCAGATTCTGCTGAGCCATTAGGTAATAATTCAACCAATACAATTTTGGCCTCAAAGTAAGTATGCTGTTGTTAGGTGCCGCTGAGTCCACTTTGACTCATAATGACCCATGTGACAGAGGAGAACTGCCCCATAGGGTTTTCCAGGCTGTAATCTTTACAGGAGCAGATGGCCAGGTGGGTTCAAACCCACAGATCTGCTAGGTGGGTTCAAACCATCCACCCGTCAGCAGCCGAGCGCTTAACCATTGTTCCACCGGGGATCCTTAAAGTATGTACTAAGATCTAATTGTCCCTAGCAGATTATGGTGATTTTTATCAAACTGAAAGCTTAAGATAGAAGCTACTTTACTTTGCACAGATTATTAACAAATATATTAAGACTTTTCACATAACAGAATTGCTTTTACTTAATTGGAATCCACCACTTTAAAACTCTCCATATGTCCTCCTAAGTTTTGACAGATATTTACAATCACATGCCATATATTATTTGCGTCAGATACAGCAATTTGGATCAATTAAGTGGGACAAAGTAGAATTCAGGCTCGTGGAACTGGCTTGGAGCCCTGGAGGCGCAGTGGTAAGGAGCTCAGCTGCTAACCGAAAGGTCGACAGTTCAGATCCACCAGCCGCTCCTTGGAAACCATATGGAGCAGTTCTACTCTGTCCTATAGGGTCGCTATGAGTTGGAATTGACTCCCGATGGGTTTAGAACTGGCTTAATTGGCAACACACAGGACACACGTTTCTAAAGTGGTCTCTGTGGCTCAGAGTCCAGTTCCACAACTGTTTAGAAAATGGTGACCAATGACACCACACGTGTGTGCCAATGACATGTCTGTGGCAGTTTGCCTACAGGGGTCCTAGAAGACCCAGGAAAGTTCCTGGCTGGGGCCTGGGTCACAGCACTACTTTCAGAAGGAGGGATCCGTGGTCTGCTTGACACAGCCAGGCCAACAGAGGTGGATGATGATAGAGACTAGCACAGCCTGCGGGTAAATGGAAAGGGTGCTAGGCAGTCATCGCTCAGAGCTTCCAGGGACGTGATTAACCAACAGACCCAGGGAAACGTGACAGGTACCTCATGTAAAAGCCGTTGTAATTAATGATAACACAACAGTGTCCTTCTCCATAGAAGTGTAAAGGACTCTGCATGTATATCTGTACTGTCTTATCAATCAATCACACATTTCAAATGTAATCAAGGTGAGCAAGAATTTACACGTGATATAATAAAACTAAATATGAATAGATAAATGTAAATAAATCACAAACAGGCAAGTAAAAAATACACCAGCATATTCTTAATGGCCGGCTTTCTGAGCAGCAGTCTGGTATGAACTGTGAAAGAAAGTTCTGGAGGTAGATGGGCCTGGACACACATCCTGGACTATTGTTACACACATAAGCAGGACACTGACGTAAATGAACAGAAGAGTATGATTTACCTGTACCATGGGAGGACGGGTGAATGAGGCTGAGCTTCACTTCTGGAAATATCACGAGACATGTGCAGTATACGCATGGGCAGGCTATACCAGACCTGTTTCACCTAATTTCATCATTTCCGTGCGCTGTATGTGTGGGCGCATTGTTTACACGGGCATGTTACTTGCAGAAAAACACGGTATGACACATATTAGCCTGCAGAAGAATGTCATGATTACCTTGATCATTTCTTCTTCTCCTGCCGTTTTACTTTTTGCTTCTATATCGCCTGCTTCGTTGCATCTAATAAAGCAGCTATTTGAGGCCAACAGAGCCATCTTCCCCTAAATAAAACAAAACAGAGCCATGAGAGTAACCGCAAAAGAATTCTGAACTCTTCGACTAGTTTTCCCTCTGATTCTAAAAGCACATCAGGAAAAAGAATTCATAGAAAACCAGGAAAATATAAAAATGTATAGAAAAGAAAACCGAAATAATCTATAACATTACTACGCAAAAATAACCACAATAAATATTTTTAGTATATTCTTTTAGTGGGACTAAATTCTAATTATATGAAATAAAATTGTTCCCTTTGGCCTAAATGATAACAGAAATACTATAAATGGATGGCTTTAACAAACAGAAATTTATTCTTTCACAGTTTAGGAGGCTAGAAGTCCGAATTCAGGGCGCTGGCTCTAGGGGAAGGCTTTCTCTCTCTCCACCGGCTCTGGAGGAAGGTCCTCGTCTCTTTGAGATTCTCATGTAGCCTGGCATCTCTCTCTTTCCCCCTCACCTATGCCCTGCTGCCTTGTTTAATCTCTTTTGTATTTCTGAAGAGACTGATTCAAGATACACCCTACCCTAATCCTGCCTCATTAACATAACAAAGACGACCCATTCCCAAATGGGATTATAACCACAGGCATAGAGGTTAAGATTTATAAGACATATTTTGGGAGACACAATTCAATCCAAAGCAGATATATTAAGGATGTAACTGATTTTGTTCAATTTAAAAATGAGCTTTAAAGACATAATAAAAAATAATGTAATACACAATAATTTACTCAAACAGCAGTATTTTAAGTAAAATTTCTTTTCACTATAATTAGGAAATAAAACATATAGAAAAGCTGGCCTTTGGTGCATCTGACTTTACTGTTCAGAACTTTTAAAGAATCAATGTCTAAGGGACTTCTGTGTGCGGAAAGAAACATTCATACTCTTCTTAGTTGTTTAATGCTCAATATATTACACTGATTTCGAATACACAAAACTTTGAAAACCCATTTCTTGTGTATCAAAACATGGATTATAAATTTTCTTAACAAATGTAAGCTGTAATTATAATCTGTATATGGCTGACTCTTTTGGAAAACTCTGAATACCTTCTAAATCAGATAATATGTACTAATAACCTTACATCCAAGTTACAAGGAGCCCTGGTGGCACAGTGGTTAAGAGCTCAGCTGCCACCCAAAAGGTCGGCAGTTCGAATGTACCAGCCGCTCCTTGGAAACTGTATGGCGCAGCTCTACTCTGTCCTATAGGGTCGCTGTGAGTCGGAATCGACTCAACAGCAATGGGTTTTGGGTTATCCAGTTACAAAAGTGCTCATAACATGGATTTCATTTTAATTTCTTATTTATGACTGTGCTGACCATCATCTGGCTGACTCTTGGTGAGCCCCGGGAGATGGCTGTATGGTCCAAGGTGATGGAAACCTGCGCTGCTGATCATTCGGCTGAGTTCCATTTTGGAATAAAGGTTTACGGGTTACCAGGGACTTTCAAGTCTCTCTTTCAATTAAATTTAAATATCTCAAACTTAGTGTCTTTCCCAAAAATGAAATGAATGAGTAAAATGGCCTTTATCAGAGTTCTGTGTGATTGGTAATATCTGCCTTATCGTCCTGTCGTTATGATGTACTGGCCTTTTCTGTTGGTGTAACTTTTATTAGTATTATCATAACTAGTAGGAGCATCTAGAAGGGGCTGCAACCTATTCGGGAGTCATGAAATAAATTTAGTGGGTCCTGGCAAGAACACCCACACAAAAAAAGAACAATAAATATCAGAGTGCGTGAGTGTAGGTAAGTAAGTACTGTTAACTATAACTCTTGTTTGTTATACATACGTGTGTACTGGGATGCAAAGTAAAAATGTATCTCTCACTGTGGACTGAGGTCCAAAAAGTTTGAAAGCCGCTAAACCAGAGATTTTATCCTAAGAGTTGAGGGAATGAGTCTAACTACTGACCTCTTGTTTTGAGGATGCTTGATTAATTTATCATCTTAGAAAACACTGTTGGATCCTATTTTGAATGCGCTGCTGTATGTGATCACTGGTGCTACCCAATGACTGAACTGCTGTACGTGGTTACTGCAGGAGAGACTGGTGTCTACTGGTCCCGGCTGTTGTTGATGTCATACCCACCTACTGGAGACTATTCAGCTTTTGTATGTTTCTGTTCAATCTTTACTGCTACGCAAATAGAAAAAGGAACTTTACCTATTCTGTACAGACAGACACAGGCTTAACAAAACAAAGTATCTATATATTACAACACTTTCCTACTTAGTAAAATTAATATATTCTCTTCATCCTTATTTTGGACTAAAACTACACTTTTATACACTATATATTTTATCTTTTGAGCTTCATTATGAACTCAAGGACTTCCACCGTCTAGCTTTATCTCAGTGAACGATGATTATCATTATTATTTATTATTTTATGCAGGAATCGTCATGACTTGGTCAGTGGCCATTCCCTTCAGCCTGCTCCACTGTCCTCTGAGGACAGTTCAGAATGTTCTGAAAGCATCCAGAATTCCTGCTAGTAAGAAGACACTCCTGAATTATCCTTGTTCTACTGTCCCAAGACTTAGAACTGGCTACCCTCTAACAAGTCCTCCTTCTTTAATGAAAATGAAGAGACTCAAATGCAGGCAAGAGGGGCAGCCAGGAATGACGGACATCAAATACTACTGCTATTTTTGTGGCGCCATTTTTTGAGATCTTTTTAATGTTATGAGTTCATATGATTTTCTTTTTTCCAATTTAATGTACTATACTATTGTACCCTACCTTTTTTTTTCCTTAAGAATCCACGCTCTCATTGACTTTTAAAAGACTTTCTCTTACATCGACAGGAAGCTTTTATAACCAGTACTACTACTTACATCTTGAAAGACGGGCTCCCATTGTTCTCTGGGTCCAATTGCGTCTGAGCGCCCAACAACAAGTCCGTCTGAATTTATACCAAGATATTTTCCATACCCAGATTTCAGGGCAATCCTGCAGATTAAAAGAAAGAAAGTTCAATTCAATATGGAACATAAAAATAGTGTATACATACAACATACAAACTAAAACAAATAAGTTCAATATGGAATATAAAAATAGTATACATATGATTTCCTTATAATGAGATTTTTATTCTAATGACGTACTAATCAAAACGACGAAAAAAGTTCAAAATACACGTTTGATGTGGTTCAAGATATCCTGATGTACTTTAAGACAGAATTTATGCAGAAGTACTTACTGGATTTTTGAGAAAAAAAAACCCAACAAACCCAACATCTTTTTTTTTTTTCCTGATTATAAAATCCATGTTCACAGTAGAGCATTAGGAAATTATAGTAGAAAGTCACCCATCTTAACCCCACCACCCATAGACAATCACATGTATTTTTCCTTTTAATTTTTCATATATATATATGCGTATATATACCCGTGTGTGAGTATGTGTATACATATACACACATATATATATATGTGGAAACCCTGGTGGCACAGTGGTTAAGAGGTTGGCTGCTAACCAAAAGGCTGGCAGTTTGAATCCACCAGCCGCTCCTTGGAAACCCTGTGGGGCAGTTCTAGTCTGTCCTGCAGGGTCGCTATGAATCGAAATCGACTGGATGGCGATGGGTTTGGTTTGGTTTATATATATAAAATACACAAAATTTAAAAAATACAACTGGAATCACAGCAACTGTCCAATACAAATTTAATGTGAGCCATATGTAATTTTAAATATTCTAGTAGACATTTTAAAATAAACAGATAAATTAATTTTAAGTTATTTTATTTAACCTAATATAGCCAACATATTATCTTGGATAATAACGTATGCTTTATATATGAGGCTTTCTCTTCTAAAGGTATGGTTGTTGCAAATCTAACTTAATACCTAAATAATTACCAAATATACAAATAATGCTATATTGTTGAAATGCCACAAAATCCGCTTTTCAGAAAAAATTATTTTGCTTTTTAAATAAAAATTACTGTCTGGGCTTAAGGTAGCTAGAATTTTTTAATGACTGAATTAAACACACACACACACAAAATATTATTAATTATTGTTCAACTCAAGCCTACCTGGAGTCAGACAGTTTGACAGCTGTGAACTGCTCCGGGGGACTAGGGCCCTCATCAACTACAAAAGAAAACCATTTTAAAATAAATTTGACATTTGCTATAAATACACATGTAAAGTTATTCTTAGCTGTAAAACAATGTAACTTTTTTCTTTTAATATTAAGACAGTATAACATTTACAAATTAGTTTGAAGTAAGCATCAGGGTATGTCAAAGGCAGAAATAATGCTGATCCTTTAAACTGTTAGTCTTCCCACTATGATGCTAATTCCTTCCGAGGGCAAAAGTTGGCTGTTCCTAGTTTAAATGTAAGAATGTTTTGCTATAACTGTAATAATACAGTACCTACAGTATCAAGATCTATTTTGTCTTCAGAGAAGATAGGCTGGCGAGGGGCTTCTTTAGTCACCTCCATGATTTCTCTGTGTTCTAAAATACACTGCATAAACAAACAGGTAAGCACCTAACATTTTAAAAACCAAATGCTCTAATTTACTCAAGGGATGACCACTCTGACCAAAAGGTACTGCTTTTTACCTTTCGATTACCTCACACTTCGTTAGTGTATCTTCTGCTGGGCTAAAGGGGAGGGCAGAACTTCACGTGGTTAACTATGTCCCAGGTTAGTTAGTTTTGGCAGAAGGTCTGAAGAATGAAGAAATTCAGACCTCTGACTTAACCAGATTCTCTTTTTTCCTTTCCATTTACTATTTTAATTATCCATATTCTATTTATTTCTGGGACTATACAGAATGTTTTGAAACGCTTCTACCGGAAAGAGGGAGTTGCCAATAGTTGGAAAAAGTGGAGGAGTCAGGTGTAATGGCCTCGTTCCTTTGGAATATACTTGAGAGTAGTAAGAATGCGGCCTAAATGAAGATTATAAAATACGTACTTTAGGTGGCTTTTTCCCTTCCCCTGCTTCTACTGGACACAAACCTTCTTTATGTGGAGCTCCCAGGGTGAAAAGTCCATTGTCCAGTGCATGTATGTAGGTTCCTTTATCCATTTCAATGGCTATGGTTCCTGAAATCTCACCAAAGTTTGTTACAGTCCACCAGATTCCTAAAAAATAAAACCAATATTTACACTTTAAATTTTAGATGCAACACAAGATACTCTTTTGTTGTTGCTGATATAATTATTTCTTAAAGCTTTTTATCTTTCAGTGGTAAGAAATAATACAGAAAGATCCCACGTACCCTTCATCCACTTTCTCCATGATGGTAACATGCTGCATTATTTCAGTACAATGTCAAAACCAGAAAACTGACATTGATCCAATTCATGGACCTTATTCAGATTTCACCAAGTGCTGCTGTAACAGAAATACCTCAAGTGGGTGGCTTTCACAAACAAATTCACTTCCTCACAGTGTAGGAGGCTAGAAGTCTGAATTCAGGGCACCAGTTGGAGGGGAAGGATTTCTCTCTCTGTTGGCTCTGGAGGAAGGTCCTTGTCTCTTCAGCTTCTGCTTCCGGTTCCTTGGAGATCTCCATGTGTTTTGGAATCTATCTTACCCCATCTCTGCCCTGTTTGCTTGTTTAATCTCTTTTATATCTCAAAAGAGACTGATTCAAGATACACCCTCCACTAATCCTGCCTCATTAACATAACAAAGACAACCCATTCCCAAATGGGATTATAATCACAGGCACAGAGGTTAGAATTTAAAACACGTATTTTTGGGGGACACACTACAGTCCATAACACCAGTTTTATATGCATTCATTTGCGTGTGTATGTGTGTGTACTCATGTAACTATTACTACAGTCAAGATTAGGTTCCTTTTAGACAAGAACCACATGATCTTATCATTGATGCAGAAAAGGCATTTGACAAAGTTCAACACCCATTCATGATAAAAACTCTCAGTAAAATAGGAATAGAAGGGAAAATTCCTCAACATAATAAAGGGCATTTATACAAAGCCAACAGCCAACATCATCCTAAATGGAGAGAGTCTGAAAGCATTCCCCTTGAGAACGGGAACCAGACAAGGAGGCCCTTTATCACCACTCTTATTCAACACTGTGCTGGACGTCCTAGCCAGAGCTATTAGGCTAGAAAAAGAAATCAAGGGCATCCAAATTGGTAAGGAAGAAGTCAAAGTATCTCTATTTGCAGATGATATGATCTTATACACAGAAAACCCCAAAGAATCCACAAGGGAACTACTGGAACTAATAGAAGATTTCAGCAAAGTATCAGGACACAAGATAAACATACAAAAATCAGTTGAATTCCTCTACACCAACAAAGAGAACTTCAAAGAGGAAATCACCAAATCAGTACCATTTAAAATAGCCCCCAAGAAGATAAAATACTGAGGAATAAATCTAACAAGAGACGTAAAAGACTATACGATGAAAACTACAAGACAGTACTGTAAGAAACCAATAGAGACCTGCACAAGTGGAAAAACATACCTTGCTCATGGATAGGAAGACTCAACATTGTGAAAATGTCAATTCTACCCAAAGCAATTTACAGATACAATGCAATCCTGATCCAAATCCCAACGGCATTTTTTAATGAGATGGAGAAACAAATTACCAACTTCATATGGAAAGGGAACAGGCCCCGGATGAGGAAAGCATTACTTAAGAAGAAGAACAAAGTGGGAGGCCTCACACTACCTGATTTCAGAACCTATTATACCACCATGGCAGTCAAAACAGCCTGGTACTGGTACAACAGATACAGAGACCAATGGAACAGAATTGAGAATCCAGACATAAATTCATCCACCTATAAGCAGCTGATACTTGACAAAGGCCCAAAATTCCTTAACTGGGGAAAAGACGGTCTCTTTAACAAATGGTGCTGGCATAACTGGATATCCATCTGCAAAAAACTGAAACAAGACCCATACCTCATACCATGCACAAAAACTAACTCAAAATGGATCAAAGACTTAAATATAAAATCGAAAGTGATAAAGACTATGGAAATAAAAACAGGGACAATGCTAGGAGCCCTAATACAGGGCATAAACACAATACGAACCATAAGTAACGATGCGCAAGCACCAGAAGAGAGACCAGATCAATGGGAGCTCCTAAAATCAAACACGCTCATCAAAAGACTTCACCAAAAGACTGAAAAAATGACCTACAGGCTCTGGGAAAACACTTTTGGCTATGACAAATCTGATCAGCGTTTAATCTCTAAAATCTACAAGATACTGCAAAACCTCAACAACAAGAAGACAAATAACCCAATTAAAAAACAGGCAAAGGATATGAATAGGCACTTCACCAAAGAAGACATTCAGGCAGCTACCAGAGACATGAGGAAATGTTCGTGATCATTAGCCATCAGAGAAATGCAGATCAAAACTACAATGAGATACCATCTCACCCCAACAAGGCTAACATTAATCCAAAAAACACAAAATAATAAATGTTGGAGAGGTTGTGGAGAGACTGGAACACTTATACACTGCTAGTGGGAATGTAAAATTGCACAACCACTTTGGAAATCGATTTGGTGTTTCCTTAAAAAGCTAGAAATAGAAGTACCATACAATCCAGCTATCCCACTCCTTGGAATATATCCTAGAGAAATAAGAGACATAACACGAATAAATATATGCACACCCGTGTTCACGGGAGCACTGTTCACAATAGCTAAAAGATGGAACAACCTAGGTGCCCATCAATGGATAAATGGATAAACAAATTATGGTATATCCACACAATGTAATACTATGCAATGATAAAGAACAATGATGAGTCTGTGAAACATCTCAAAACATGGATGAATCTGGAATGCATTATGCTGAGTGAAATCAGTCGCACAAGGACAAATATTGTATGAAACCACTATTATAAGAACTCAAGAAAAGGCTTAAACACAGAAGAAAACATTCTTTGACGGTTTACAAGGGTGGGGAGGGAGGGAGATGGGAATTCACTAACTAGAGAGTAGATAAGAATTATCTTAGGTGAAGGGAAGGACAACACACAATATGGGGAAGTCAGCACAACTGGACTAAACCAGAAGCTAAGAAGTTTCCTGAATACAACCAAACACTTTGAAGGACAGAGTAGCAGAGGCAGGGGTCTGGGGACCATGGTTTCAGGGGACATCTAGGTCAATTGGCATAATAAAGTTTATTAAGAAAATGTTCTGCATCCCATTTTGGTGAGTGGCGTCTGGAGTCTTAAAAGCTATCAAGTGGCCATCTAAGATGCATCAATTGGTCCCAACTCACCTGGAGCAACGGAGAATGAAGAACACCAAAGACACAAGGAAAATATTAGCCCAAGAGACAGAAAAAGGCCACATAAACCAGAGACTCCATTAGCCTGAGACCAGAAGAACTAGATGGTGCCCGGCTACTGCCAATGACCGCCCTGACAGGGAATACAACAGAGAGTCCCTGACAGAGCAGGAGAAAAGTGGGGTGCAGAACTCAAATTCTCGTAAAAAGACCAGACTTAATGGTTTGACTGAGACTAGAGGGACCCCGGAAGACATGGGCCCTGGACTCTCCGTCAGCCCAGAACCGAAACCATTCCCGAAGCCAACTCTTCAGACATAGATTAGACTGGACTATGGGACATAAAATGATACTCGTGAAGAGACTGCTTCTTAGCTCAAGTAGATACATGAGACTAAATGGGCAGCTCCTGTCTGGAGGCGAGATGAGAACGCAGAGAGGGTCAGGAGCTGGTTGAATGGATGCGGGAAATCCGGGGTGGAAAGGAGGAGTGTGTTGTCACAGTATAAGGAGAGCAACTAGGGTCACATAACAATGTGTGTATAAATTTTTGTATGAGAGGCTAACTTGAACTGTAAACTTTCACTTAAAGCACAATTAAAAAAAAAATGATTAGGTTCCTTTTAAAATAAAAAAAAGGTACAGGTAATATACATGATGGTACTAAAAGATACACAGAGAACAGTCTCTCTATTCCAGGCCCCAGTCACACATGCCTGCTGCCCAGAGGCAATGACTGTTTCTTATGTATGCCTTCAGAGAGCCTTTATGGCACAGTATTCTTCACTATGATTTTAGATCAGAATCTGAATGAGCAGGAACTATGTCTCTGGACACTAATGTGTACACAAAAACACTAAACTCTAGGATCTAGTTATTTAAATAGATTGTTGCAAAAGTTTGTATTTTAATGGAAGAAAAAAATGGCCTTAAATCTTCCCCTGAATTATACTTTAACTAGAGTAGAAACGAGCCAGTCACTGACTGGATATTAGTATTAAGGAATTCTTGTTAATTTGTTAGGTCTGATAATGACATAGTGCTACACAGAAAAAGAATGAGCAGAGGCAGAGAAAGAAGGACAGAGACTGGTCTTCCAAGAGATGCACATTTATGTGTTTATTCATGAAATGATATAATATCTGTGATGCGCTTTAAAATTCTCCAGAGAAAAATATGTGTGTGTGTGTGTGTGTGTAAATGAAAACAAGACAGACAAAATATCGACAATTACTAATACTGGTGTCTAAGAACATGGGGGATTCATTATAGTCTTCTCTTTACTTTCATATTAGTTTGAAAATTTCCAAAATAAAAATTTTCAAAAATTAAGTTAATCTCACTAGACAAAATTTCCTATTCAGCTAAACAATTCAGGCTTTTCAGTACTAATTTTAAAAGATATTAGTAAAATTTTAGCTAAAGACTATTAGGAAGCAAGAAACATAACAATTTAGTGAGAAGTTTAGATAATAATTGGAGTTATTTCTGACTTGCAGCTATAACTGCTTTCAGTAGAAGGAAAAAATGCTTTATTTAGAATCATGATCAAAAGCCTTGTGATCTGAAAATCCTTAAGAATACAGCAATTAATGACTTTACACTATTTGTCATTTATATGTTCTATGCCATGTTGACCAAGAACACTTAACATTAAAAAGCCGATTTTAATACAGCATCTCATCAGTAGTCTGCAGATGAAGAAGACATTTTACTCACTATGCTTTAAACAAAATACAGAAATGTGTATTTCTTTCTAAAAGTTATGCAGACTAAGGTAGATACTCTTGCTACACAGTCTCACAACACATAAAAGACTGTCACACATTGTCATTTTTTAACTGTCTAGAACATAAGTTCTATGAGGGTAGAGACCAGATCTATACTGCTTATGAATGGCTTCCACAATTAAAATTCATACATAGTCAAAGAAAATAATTCGCAAAATCGATTTGGTTTAAGTAATATTTATCCTTATTAGGCCTTGAAAAGTATGTATCATAATCTCTGGGCTGTTAAGTAGACTAATACCAAACCAAAAAACCAAACCCACTGCCATCGAGCTGCTTCTAACTCATAGTGACCATACTGGACAGAGTAGAACTGACCCACAGGGTTTCCAAGGAGCGGCTGGTTGATTTGAACTGCTGACCTTTTGGTTAGCAGCCAAGCTTTTTTTATTTTTTACAGCTTTATTGGAGTATTATTCACATACAATAAATATACATACTTAAAGTGTGTGATCTGATAAGTTTTGACATATACACCCGTGAAACCATTGATTGTAGAATCAAGACAGTAAACATTTCTGCAGCCAAGCTTTTAAACACTGCACCACCAGCGCTCCAAGTAGACTAATAAAAACCAAAAACCCACCGCTGTTGAGTGGATTCCGACTCACAGTGGCCCTGCAGGATGGATTAGAACTTCCCTATAGATTTCCAAGGAGCAGCTGGTGGACTTGAGCTGCCGACCTTTCGGTTAGCTGCCAAATATTTAACCACTGCCCACTAGGGCTCCAAGTAGATCAATGGTCCCTACTAAATCAGAGAGTTATGTTTCTTCTCCTTGCGCTTTACTCTGATAATGAAGAGAAGGTAGTAGTGACATCTACTGTGATAAAGAATAAAGGAAATCTACAAATGCAAATGGTATTTCAGCACTTCAAGACAAATATGAATAGGTCACAAATTCCTTCTGCTATTTTGTGCTCTTTTTCTTTTCTTTTTAACTGTTTATCTAGTAAACTATTTTTAACGGGAACTCAACAGATGGTGACTTTTCTCAGCATAAAATATTGAAAACTGACTCACCGACGATATCAAGCTGGGTTTCTTCATCCTCTTCTCTTTTTCTTTTCTTCTCTTTGTTCTTCTTCTTCTTACTACAGGAGATCATTTATATACATGAGTTTAGATATATTGGATTGTGTGTCAAATATCACAATATGAAAAGTTAGGGGAGTCTTTTAAACTGTATACAAATTCACAAAGTACTGATTTACACTGACAGACTTTTACTCTGCACTGGGAAGTCACTTCTGGCCCGGTACATATGCACTGACTCTTGAACTGGACCCCCCAGTTTTGAATCCTGATTCTGCCCCTTCTTAGCCGTGTGGTGTTTGGAAAGCCACTCAACCTTTTCGTGACTCAGCTTCCCTACCTATAAAACGGGGATAATAATATACCCCGCCTCATGAAGTTATTAGGAGGATTAGGAGTTAATATGTACCCTCTTACATTGCTGGTGGGAATGTAAAATGGAGCGGCTACTTTGGAAAAAAATTGGGGGTTCCTCAAAAAGTTAAGCACAATTACTGCATAAGCAGGAATCCTATATACCTGAAGAGAGATGAAAATATATTCAAACAAAACTTGTATTTCAATGTTCACAGCAGCATTATTAAAAATAGCCAAAAGGTAGAAACAACCCAAATGTCCATCAACTGATGAACGGATAAACACAACATGTGATACACATACAAGTGACTATCATTTAACCACAGAAAGGAATAAAGTACTGATGAGCTGTGAAACACTACGCTAAGTGAAAACAGCCAGACACGTAAGACCACATACCGCATGAGTTCATGTGTATAAAATGTCCAAAACAGGCAAATCCACACAGACAGAAAGCAGGTTAGTGGTTGCTAGGGTCTGGGGAGTAGGGAAATGGGAAGTGACTGCTCATGGGTATGGGGTTTCTTTTTGGGGTGATGAAAATATTCTGGAATTAGATAGTGATGATGGTTGCCCAAACTTGTGAGCTATACACTTTGAAAGGATAGTTTTATGGCATATGAATATCTCAATTAAAACAAAACTACCACGGGTGATGTTAAAAAAAGATTTAACTGTGCTTAGAATGGTTCTTGGCACGTGGGAAGTACTATGTTGCTGTGATGCTGTTAGGTGCTGCTAAGTCGGTTCCAACTCACAGCAGCCCTACGTACAACAGAACAAAACACCGCCTGGTCCGGCACCATCCTCACAATTGTTGTTATGCTTGAGCCCACTGTTGCAGCCACTGTGTCAATTCATCTCATGGAGGGTCTTCCTCTTTTTTGCTGACCCTCTACTTTACCAAGCATGATGTTCCTCTCCAGGGACTACTCCCTACTTATAAAATGTCCAAAGTATGTGAGATGAAGTCTCGTCATCCTCACTTCTAAGTAGCATTCTGGCTGTACTTTTTCCAAGACAGATTTGTTCTTTCTTCTAGCAGTCCATTGTATATTTGATATTATTTGCCACCACCGTAATTCAAAGGCATTTATTCTTTTTCGGTCTTCCTTATTCACTGTCCAGCTTTCATATGCATATGAGGCAAATGAAAACACTACCCCGTGGGTCAGGCGCACCTTAGTCTTCAAAGTGACATCTTTGCTTTTTAACACTTTAAAGAGCTTTTTTGCAGCAGAGCTGCCCCATGCAATGTGTCATTTGATTTCTTGACTGCTCCTTCCATGGGTGTTGACTGTGGATCCAAGTAAAACGAAATCCTTGACAACTTCCATCTTTTCTCCATTTATCACGATGTTGCTTATTGGTCCAGTTGTGAAGATTTTTGTTTTGTTTATGTTGAGGTGCAATCCATACTGAAGGTATAGTCTTTGCTCTTCACCAGTAAGTGCTTCATGTCCTCTTCACTTTCAGCGAGCAAGGTTGTGTCATCCGCATATCACTAGTTGTTAATGAGTCTTCCTCCAATCCTAATGCCAAGTTCTTCTTCATATAGTCCAGCTTCTCAGATTATTTGCTCAGCATACAGACTGAATAGGTATGGTGAAAGGATACAACCCTGATGCACACCTTTCTTGACTTTAAACCATGCAGTATCCCCTTGTTGTGCTTGAATAACTATACACAAAAGTGTTACACATAAGTGTAAATCATGATTGATAGTTATAAGAATATATAGTTGTTTGCATTTTCAGTATAAAGTAAGTTTCCCAAAACCAAGCATCGCTTCTCACTGGCCCCCCTCCTAATTCAGACAGTAGAAGTTCCAGGTTTATTCAGGATAAACTCCTGAATGCAAGACCACTAGGCAGAGTTCTCAAGGGCAGTAGCTCCAGCTTGCTTCTTGACGCTTCCTTTCCATCTCGCATAAAAGTACCACAAACTGTTTATTACCAGGCCAAGAGGAAATGCTCAACATTTGCATGAATAGTCAACCTGTGACAAATCTACTTACAAAAGAAGTAAGGATATGAGTGGACTGATATTTTCCCCTAAAAACCTAATAATCATAAATCACTACCACCTCACCCTGCATTTGGCTCTACCAACTCACCATACATACATTATCTCACTTAATCCTCATAATAATCCTATTAGAAGAGTATCACTAATCCCTTTTAATAAATGAGTAAACAGAGTCTCAAAGATATTAACCAACTTGCGTCAAACCACAAAACTAGTAATTGGTGGGGTCCAGAGTCCTAGCATATCATTCTTATCGTATCTCCATCCAAGCCCATCCTTAACCACTCTGCGATTCAGTCAAGTTCCACTTCTAATATTACTTTAAAAATAAAGGAACTTTTTTTTTGAGAGGAAGGGGAGTAATGGTGGAAATAATTATACCTAAACAAGGAAGATATCGTTATGACTTACTGCTCAGACCAGTGCGGACCCACCACTCGGGATCTAGAGCGAGACCTCAGAGTTAGACAAGGGACCGAAACTTGTGGCTCCTGGGCTCTTGGTCTCCTGTCTCCTCCCATTTTGAGGCTGTAATAGCTAAGGAAGGCGCCCTGGTGGCGCAGTGGTGAAGCGTTCGGCTGCTGACCAAAAGGTCGGCAGTTTGAATCCCCCAGCCGCTCCCTGGAAAGCCTATGGGGCAGTTCTGCTCTGTCCCGTAGGGTCGCTGAGTCGGAATCGACTGGACGGCAGTGGGTTTGGTTTTGAACAGCTAAGGCTCATCTCCCGGCCGTCTCCCCAGCTCAGCACCGGCGCGGGAACGGGCCGCAGCCAATGTCCGTCCCAGACAAGAGGCCCAGCCCCGGGGCCGGGAGCCAGAGGACAGCCCGCTCCGTTTCCCGGGGCCGCGCGGGGCGGGGGCCGTCAGGAAAGAACGGAGAGCCCCCCCACGACGCCCGGCTCACCTCTTGGCCTTGGTTCCCTTGAGGACGAGTTTGGTGGATTTCACATAGGAGTACTCGGCCATGGTGCTGGCGAAACTTTCCAACACCGCTCGGAAGCCGCCCGACTGGGCCCGAGCGGGGAGGAAGTTACACCAACGGAGACAGAAGGAGGACTCCGAAAGCGCACGCAACGGCGGCAGTGGTCGCTTCTGTTGGAGAAGCCCTCCTCTCTTCCACCTTGACTTCAAAAATTCCAGACACAAAATTCTACTTCCTGTTTACTTGTCAGGCGCTACGGCCACCGCAGAGGGCCGAAATACACCAGCGTTCATTTGCGCCTTCTCGCGGAACTTGGGAATGCGAAGTAGGGCTTCCCCAAGTGAGGGAACCGGAAGCGCGCGCCCCCTGGTGGCCGGCGGATCTCATAGCCATGGTCTGCATGTCCAACCGCTCGGGACAGTCTCCAGCCAGGTCTCAGGAGCTGGCGGCAGCGCCATCAGCCAGAGGGTGGAAAGACTCCATCAGACATGTCAGGTCAATAAGTGTTTATTATCTTCTTTTAACTGGGGAAACTTGAGTATGCACAGGAAACAATTAGGGAATAATATGAAGTACAATTAAATGCCAAATTTGGGGGTCACAGATTTCACAAGTGCTCTGGTAAATGGGGAGCTCTGGTGGCGCAGTGGTTAAGCATTTGGCTGCTAACCAAATGGTCGGCCGTTCGAATCCACCTTCTGCTCCTTGGAAACCCTATGGGGCAGTTCTACTCTGTCCTATAGGGTTGCTATGGGTCAGAATAGACTCGTCGGCAACAGGGTTGGTTGGTTGGTTGGTAGGAAATGGGGTGGAGGTTGTCCTTGAAATCCAGAGTACTCAGAGAAACCTTTCTGTATAGGGTGGGCTTTAGAGAGGCTTTCATGGAACCAGTCGCCTGAGTATTTCTCCTGCCTGCTCCAATCTCTTCACCAATTTTATAGTTCACCTCCCTGATTCTGTTTTCTCCACCTCCTAAACAATCTTGCACATTGAGTGATCCTTCTAAAAAGAAAGAGCTGATCATTATAATTTCCCTTCCTAAAATCTATTAAAGGAAGCCCATTGCTTTCAGAGAAAAAAAAAAGATGGCATCACTTAGTAAACTATTGATGATCTGTCCTCTTTTCCTGCCACTTAACTCTTTCCACCTTTGTTCCATTCGTGTTAAATAACAGGAAATCTTTGCGAGCTCTGAGTTTGCTGCTTCTGCTTACAGTGCTGTCCTTCTCTCCTATATCCATTGCCGTGGAGTCGATTCTGACTCATAGTGACCATATCGGACAGAGTAGAACTGCCCCATAGAGTTTCCAAGGCTGTAATCTTTAGGGAAGGTGACTCCCACATCCTTCTACTGGTGGATTCAAACTGCTGACCTTTCAGTTAAGCAGTCCAGTGCTTAACCACTGCACTACCGGGGCTCCTCCTATACTTGGCTCTTTTTTAAGCTTTAAGACAAACTCAGGCATCATTTCCTCCATAAAATCATCTTTGAGTCACCTCCTGTATTTCGCCAAAAATCCTGCTATATTTCTCATGCTACAATTGTGCACTTTTTTAGGGCAAGACCTGTAGCTTACTCATTCCTGTGTTTCATTTATACCCTACCCAGTGCCTGCTTCAGCATAGGCACTTATTACATGTTTGTTAAAATAGCAGAATTCTAGAGGCTGAAGTTAAGCTGTGGGACAGTGAGGAGTATGGCTTCGCTAGAGAGGAGGGAGTGTGGTAGAAAACAGGGAAAAAAACTGGGTGGGTAGGGAAGAGTCATATCATGGAGGTCACTGGAAGCCAATTCCTTGTTTATCAGACATCTTTGCCTAAGACTCTGTGCTGCTTGTACAAGGGAATATAAAAGATGCATCAGACTCAGAGCCTGATGGTTAAAGGCCCTCAACTAAGGAACCAAAAAAAAAAAAAAAAAAAAACCAAACAAAAGAATACACCAAACCCGTTGCCGTCAAGTGGATTCTGACTCATCGTGACCCTAAAGTAACCTGCAATAAGACAGTATAGCATACATATAAGAGTGTAGCTTCTGGAGCCAGACTACTTGGGTGGACAAACCTCTCTCTTCATAAGCTGAATTAATTTGGGCAAGTTGTTTAACTTCCGTATGCCTAAATTTCTTCAGCTACAAAATAGGAATGCTAGTTCCTAGAGTTATGATAAAAATTAAAGGAATTAGTATAGAAAAACATTTAGAAAAGTCCTTGGTAGCTATTATTATTAGATATCAAAGTACCATGGGAAATGTTCAAATAAAGTGCTAGAGTAGCATATGATAGGGATATGTTATAGGTTCAAATATCTTATTCTAGGCATTAGGCATGTTTCAACAAATGGATGCAATGCTGGAAGTGCTCACTTGTCTATGCCAAGAAATTTGGAAGACAGCTACCTGGCCAGCCGACTGTAAGTGATCCATATTCGTGCCCATTCCAAAGAAAGGTGATCCAACCGAAGGTGGAAATTATTGAACAATATCATTAATATCACACACAAGGAAAATTTTGCTGAAGATAATTTAAAAAATGGTTGCGGAAGAGCATCCAATCCACAGGGAGTTGCCAGAAATTCAGGCCAGATTCAGAAGAGGATGTGAAATGAGGGATGTCATTGCTGACGTCAGATGGATCATAGCTGAAAGCAGAGAATACCAGAAAGAAGTTGACCTGTGTTTTATGGACTGTATAAAGGCATTTGTATGGATCGTAACAAATTATGGATAACATTGCAAAGAATGGGAATTTCAGAACATTTCAATGTGCTCATGTGGAACCTGTACATAGAACAAGCGTCAGTCTTCGGAACAAACAAGGAGATACTGAATGGTTTAAAATCAGAAAAGATGTGCATTAGGGTTGTATCCTTTCACCATATTTATGCAGTCTGTATGCTGAGCAAATAATCCGAGAAGCTGGACTATACGAAAAAGAACGGGGCGTCAGGATTGGAGGGAGACTAACAAGCTGTGTTATGCGGATGACGCAACCTTGCTCACTGAGAGTGAAGAGGGCTTGAAGCATATCTTGAAAGCCATATCTTTCTCCCTCGGAGTGGCTGGTTTGAACTGCTGACCTATTGGATAGCAGCCGAGTGCTTAACCACTGTGCAACCACAGTTCCTTTTGCAACGTACAGAGATATAAAATAGCTCAAAGACAATGACAGGCCATTAAAGAGTCAGATAATCTACAAGAATGCAATACATATATAAAAAACCCAAACCCATTGCCAATGTGTTGATTCTGACTCATAACGACCCTATAGGACTGAGTAGAACTGCGCTAGAGGGTTTCCAAGGAGCAGCTGGTGGATTCGAACTGCCGACCTTTTGGTTAGCAGCCAAGCTCTTAACCACTGTACCACCATATATGTATATATACATATACAGTTTTTAAATTTATTTATTTTTGTTCATTCCAGAGTTTTTCAGGCTTTTTCCTGACAGTGGAGAGGTAAAGGGGGAGAACCGTTCCTTTCTCTCTCCCTCCTTCCCTCCGCTCCTCCCTTTCTTCTTCTAGTTAAGTGACATGGCACTGTCTAGGCCTGCTGGATGTAAAGCTTTCTCCCCTGGCGGTTCTGAGATACCCATCCGGGGCCTCTGTCCTGTGGCTCCTGTGAACTAGACAACTGTATCTGTATTCTAGGTGGTCGCCTGTGGCAGGCCCTGAAGTCTTAAGAGTCCCTATTCCTTGCTCACGTTATGTGTCCATCATGGCCCTTGGGGACCCAGGCTGAATGAGCAGCCTCTGTCTTTAACACTGATGGCCATCAAACCTGAGGGAAAAAGGAGCCTTAAAGCTTCTGCTTGGACGGGACACGTGTCACTTCTCACACTGAAGCAAGTCCTGTGACTAAGCCTGCCCCTTCATCAGAGCAGCAGCACATATTCCCCCAGTAGGCAGAGACACTGCAGGTAGGGACCACACTGATAGGAATGAAAACATAGGAACCCCCAGCGTCCTACCCAGGCTTCTTACCCCCTCACCTGGCACATGTAACCCGGCAAAGCGCACACGGTCCCCAGCGTCCTACCCAGGCTTCTTAAACCCTCACCTGGCACGCGTTCCCTAGCAAAGCACACACGGTCCCCAGCGTCCTACCCAGGCTTCTTACCCCCCCACCTGGCACGCGTTCCCCAGCAAAGCACACACGGTCCCCAGCGTC